AAACCGCGAGAAAAGGGCCGGCCCGTGGCTCACTCGGGAGAGTGTGGTGCTGATAACACCAAGGCCATGGGTTCGGATCCCATACAGGGATGGCTGGTTAGCTCAATGGGTGAGCGTGGTGCTGACAACACCAAGTCAAGGGTTAAGATCCCCTTACCGGTCATCTTTAAAAAAAAAAAAAAACGAGAAAAATGTAATGTAGATTTCCCTCCTGATAAATGAAGGAAACCTAAAGATTCGGTTCTCATCTTATTTCTGGACACTGTAGCCGAGCAAAAATCCTTACACTGTTACTGTTGAAGTGGTACCAATGATTAGATTTCTAAATGCATTTTGTGCTAGAATCCAATGTGGACCTAGTCACATTACAAACATGAGTCTCAGAGGCCATCCATGATTACCTGAAAGAACTTCAAAGACTCAAACCTGTTTTAAGAACCACTGACTGTCTCCAAATTATTTTCCTACACTTCTTTAATGTATATAAAATGACTCTAATGAATACTTCCTCACCTTCAGGAACTATTAAATATATCTATTGCTCGTTAAAATGAATTTGAGCACGATTTCAGACTAAACCAATTTCTTTTTCTTAAAGACAGCTGTAGCAACATGTAAAACACCTCCATTCAGTGTGGGTTTTGTTGTTGTTTTGTTTTGTTTTGTTTTTAAACAAGAACAAACCACCTTGGAATCTGATTAATTTTACTTTGGGAAAATTACCTTAGCACAGCACCTAGTCAAAGTTTGTGTTCCGTATGTGCTAGTGGCACTCATTGTCATTTTTTCTATCACTTTTTGTCAAGCAGGGTGCTGTGTGTTCTATACAAACTCATCCACCTTCTCCATGGACTCCCAGAGGCCTTTCACCGCAGCAGGAGCTCTGTGCCCTAGGGAGGGACTTCTCTCCACTCAAAACACTGTAAGATGTGTTTTACACTCCCAGGGGAATTTCTTGCTTTCCTTCACATTCCTTCCCCTATACTCAGTTTCCATGATTGCAGATTCTCACAGGCATCAGAGAAGAGCCTTCCACCAGCATTCAGATCACCCAGACAGGCTGGCAGCACAATTCTTTTTCACTATAGTCCCCAAGTGAAACAGAAGGAACCCCGCTGGTCCACTCATTTTTTACCTCTTGATTCCTATCTGTTATGTGTTGAATTTTTTCCCCCAAAAAGATAGGTTGAAGTCCTAACCCCCAGTACCTCAGTTAGTTACCTTATTTGGAAATAGAGTAGTTGCAGGTGTAAGTAGTTAAGATGAGGTCATTCTGGAGTAGGGTGGGCCCTCAGCCCAATATGACTGGTGTCCTTATAAGAAGAGAAGACACAGTGGGAAGACAGCCATGTGGAGACACAGACACATGCAGGGAAGGACACCACATGATGATGGAGGCAGAGATTGGAGTTACACAGCTTCATGCAATGGAGAGCCAGGAATTGCTGCTACAACCAGAAGCCAGGAGACACAGAATGGCCCTGCCAATACCTTGATTTTAGACTTAGAGCCTTCAGACTGTGAGAGAAAAAATTTCTGTTGTTTTAAGCCACCCAGTTTGTGTTACTTGGTGATGGCAGCCCTAGCGAACTACTGCATCATTCCAGGGTCAATATCGGTTTTTACTACCCTATTAAATTGCCTCAACTTGCCCTAACAAGTCTCTTAGCTCAGCAAGCACAGGCAGGGAATAGAACATGAAGACCCCATCCTCTCCCCCCACCTCCACCCTATTAAACAGAAATGGGATTCCAGGCCTCACATGTGAACTCAGCTGAGATACTGATCAAAAGCTTATCACATATGTGAATACAATAGCACCTCTGTGGTAAAGAGCTAAACATGAAGAAAAAAATTCATAATGGTTAGTTTCAGTGTGTCTAAATGCATTTCCCAGCTGCGTCCACCCTGTTAAAGCAGGGGCTCCTGGGTTTCACCTTGGCTACGTCCCACCTGGGCCCTTGCCTCCACTCCTTGGCTCTCACAACTGACTCATCTACTGCAAGCATCTTCATCCTTGGGTGCAAAGTCTATAAATTCCTTGTCTGCTCTCGCATTCCAGTCATAATGAAAATTAGAAGATGAGCCAAAAGAATAAGGGAAAGGCCCATGGCCCCATGGGAAGCTTTAGCCCTCCAGCCTCTTCTATTTCACACAAAAAAACCCTTGTGCTCTTTTTTAAACTCCACCTCAAAGGTTGGAGTCACTCCTACCTTCTAAAAGGATCTGGGGTGTGTGTGTGTGTGTGTGTGTGTGTGTGTGTGTGTGTGTGTGTGTGTGT